ATCAGAATCAATGGATTTATAAAATTTTGCTTTACCAACGTCATGCACTATTTTGGCTTTACTTAATTCAACAGATCTTTTTCTATCTGTTAATATTTTTTTTGGGATGATAAATGCATGGAACAATTTTAGATTTCATTAAGTTTTGGAATTCTTTGGAATTGAAAGATTCACCACCACTATTTAAACAAAAATCTTGATAAAAAGATTCATTATTCCCTGTAAATACTAAAAACATAACAGACCATGTCCTCATAGGTGCCGTATTTGGGCAATTTAGAGTGTATGTGATACTATCAGTTTTAGGTAAATCTATTCGGACAGTAAATTCACTTCCAAATAACCATGGACCGCCAGTCTCTAGAGATATAGATGTACCAGGAACGTAGTGAAACGAAGTGTATGGTTTACAGCCAACTAACTGTGTACAAAATCTCGAACACTATTGGACAGCGTGATTATTTTGAACATTTATTCTTGATCTCATGATCGATTCAGTTTAACATCGAATGCATTGAAATTTGTCACGTGGAAATTATTTGTAAGATAAAACTTGTATCAATCTGGAACGACATATTGCTCAAAATGAACGTAAAGGTTGTCGATCGGAGAAAATCAGAACAATTATGAAAAAAGTACAAGATTATACGTATCGATATTGGGTTTTATATTGAATAAAGATCTTATACCGATACTAACGCTAACTTTTTTCAGTAATTACTAGTATTAGAGCCGTCATCATATGACGGACTAAATGTATAGAATAAACACTACAAACGAATGTTGCAAATGTTATGCGTCATTTCTCAATTCATGTCATTCAAATCTATGCTTCGCATCATTTTTTCAATTTATTTAATTATAAATTACCATATTTCATTTTTAAATTAGAAAACGGCATAGGCCATTTTGTGGTCTCAAGGATATTGCTGTTCTGCACTGCGAATTTGCTTCTAGCGAAGATGGCTGTGGGTCTACACGTAATGTGTGTATTCTTATATTTGACCCAGACAATGAAGATATTGTTAGTATTCCATTGCAGTTATAAATTAGGCAACTAATTCAGATCTACTTATCTGACCCATTCCTGATTGGGATTAAAGGCTGATTCTGGTTTAACCGGATTGCCCCGGAATATCCCTGCTTAGCCATCCATCTTTTCGATCTGTTGACTTACGCAGTAAGTCAACTTGAATTAATATTATATTATTTAAGCTGCAGACGAGTTAACTAAAATTTTCGTGCAACATAATTCGCTTTGTAACTAAGATGTCAAAGGATACTAGTTTAAATAAAACTATCCAAAGTATTACTAATACTTTTAGTAAATTGAGTTTTGCTAATCTACAAGAATTTGCAAATGAGAATAATCCAGATGGAATATTCTGGCTTGGTTATTGTTATGAACATGGAATCGGAGTTGAAATGGATGAAAACAAGGCATTTTTTATTATCAAAAGTCAGCAAATATGAATAATTCTGATGGAATGTATTACGTCGGCCATTGTTATTATTTAGGAATTGGGGTCAAGATAAATAAAGAAAAGGCATTTGAATATTATCTAAAATCGGCCGAGTCTGGTAATTCTATGGGAATTTTTAAAACAGCTGTTTGTTATAGATACGGAACTGGAGTAAAAACAAATTATAGCAAATTTACTGATTGGATTTCCAAGTGAGTTATTTATTGATTAATTAATTTTTATTTCGAACCAAAATCTCAAACTATTTAATCATTAGGGAGTAAGTTAAGAATAATAATTAATTATTAAGATTTAAATTTGAACAATTTATTATTTAGTAATATTTTTAAATTACTTGTATAGTAAGTAAGTATTAAATATTTATTATTAGTTAAATGTTGTTACACAACGAAAGTTTCAGAAATAAACTTTCGATGTGTAACCAATATACTTTCGTTTGACTTGCGTATACTTTAGTGTAACATTTAATAGTTTAAGAGAAGTATAAAGTATACTTTAATTAGACTTTAAATGGTACATAGGTTATTTTAGAGTTTATTAATGTATATATATAGAGTTATATGTATCTTAGTTTAGAGATTTGTCTTTAGTTTTTAGTGAGTTTTGGTATTTCGGGTTATTGAGTTGGACTATTAGTAAGTTTGGAACTTGCTAAGTAGTTAGGGAAATAAGGGATATTAGTATTGAAAGAGTGTCTGGGACACAAGACAAGGATATTTATTTGTACTTTCTGGTGCCTTTTGTGACAATAAATTAGTTAGCTTATTTCTTGTTAATGATTACGGCCCTCAGTTAAATTGGCTAAGTGGATAAAAAGTCTCTCCCTTGGCTGTAACAATGTGCTGTTAGATAAATATCTATTATGTGATTGACTATTGATTCAATGAAAATTTTAACTAATAATTTTTACAATTTTAGATTGTGAGTACAAAAAACATTTATTAGATCAAGTAATTAAAATAAGATATTCAAGTTCATGATTATTTACTATTTAATTTCTTTTTATTCACATCAATTTAGGGCATGAGTATAAAGAGCATTTATTAAACTAAGTAATAAAAATAAGCTATTCATGTTCATGATTATTTACGATTTAATTTCTTTTATTTAGAAAGTAAGTATAAAGAATATTTATTAAACTAAGTGATTAAAATAAGCTATTCATGTTCATGATTATTTACTATTTAATTTCTTTTATTTAGAAAGTGAGTATAAAGAATATTTATTAAACTAATTAATTAAAATAAGTTATTCAAGTTCATGATTATTTAATATTTAATTTCTTTTATATTAATAGTAAGTAAGTATAAAGAATATTTATTAAACTGTAATTAAAATAAGCTATTCAAGTTCATGATTATTTACTATTTAATTTCTTTTATACTAATAGTGAGTGAGTATAAA